GAGCCTTGCCATTATTAGCATCACACTATAACTCGTCAAAGAGACAAGTGAAGTCAATCCTTTGACCAAATGGGTGCTAAGCAGTTTTGGTATCTCTCCTTCTGTCCTGGGCTACTCACCTCTCCTAGATTCTGGTATTACACCTTTAATATCACAATTTCTTACTTATTTATCTAAACCTATTAAAACCTATTCACACCCGCCGCTGGCTTTCACATTCCTCCTGCAGTGCCGGAAATGTTGAACCAATGCTGCAGCTTAATTCGCAACCTTCTTCTTTCAGATCCTTTACTTTATTGAATCTCTTCACCCAACACTTTCACTCGAAATAGAAGTAAGCCCTACAATTATGAAACAAGAGATTCCTCGAAACCCAACTTTTCTTCGCATCCATTGACTACGTCTATGAGCTAATTTATCTACTAATTGCTAATTAGAAATGGTCACCACCGCTTCTCTCGCTCTTCTATCCCTAATGCCAAGTTTATGATTTTCTTATTTCCAAGTCTCTAGCATGGCGACCCCCAAATTTGATATTTTTATACTTGATTTGAATAGGCTCACTATAGACACCTCCCTTCGGTTCTGCTTTTTCCTCTCTGGTCTCCTTGTAATTTCTTTTCCTAAAATTAAAAATATTACCTTTGTCCAGTCTTTTTTTGCTGATATTGCTGATCCCTGATCTTTTCCGAGTTTGCTTAGGCAGTATGCAAAGTTTTCGTTAATCCTGCCTTCTTCACCTATCATTTTCATTAGAATTATTTTAATCAGAATATCGATAGCTTCTTGCATCTTACGTTTTTTTGTATTTCTGCTGATTTCCATTCGATTTCGTATTCCGTCCGTGCAATGTGTTCCGCTATTTCGGATATTTCAATGTCCATGTTTCTGCAGTGTCTTTGGCGTTCCTTGCTCTTTAGGCGTGCAACAAAGGAAGAAAAACATTCAATCAAGCCATTTGGGGTTATGTTCATTACTTTAAGATATAAATCTATGTAGATGATTTTCTTAGAATTATGAAGTTTTTATGCCATGATTTGCACCTAAATCAATAATGCATCTTATTGGAAATTGAGAGATCTTATTTTATCAGCACAGCATGGTGACCATTGTTCTAGCTGAAGATATGCTAAGATTTGGTTTGCAATGTGTTAGGTATCCTTGGAGAAAGATCTTTAATCACCACAGGTCGCTTAAGATGACACTGGACAGATAGTGAGT